TTCCTCCTCCTCCTCCTCCTCCTCCTCCTCCTCCACCTCATCATCATCATCATCATCATCATCATCAACATCACCATCACCATCATCATTCCCAACACCTTCTTCTCTTTCACTGTTTCTCAACAGTCGAGTGCAGCCACCTTATCTTCTTCACCTCCTTGAGCTCTACACCATTCCTCAAATGCAAAATGTATAGTACTCCATCTCAGTCACAACCCCCCCCCACCCATTCTTCGTTCTTCCCCAATCACACCCTTCTCAGGTTAAAGTCTGTTTGTTTAATCTTAAATTTTTAGTGAGAGTTATACGTCATTCTCAACACAATAGGGGGATCCAGAGAGTTTAGACTCAAGTAATGTCAAGCAAGTGACACGGGGATCAGATGGGTGGTCACTGGGGTGTGTCCTTGAGCAAGACACGACAACCTCAGCTCAAAATACAGGGCGCTGCACAGTAGCGACCGACAGTGACATGGTTGTAAACTGTTCTGTGTATGTATTTATGTATGTCGTATTTATGTATGTACGTATTTATAATCATGTATGTAAATGCATGTTTGCCTTTGTAAACCAAAGTGCCCTTCTGAGACAAATAATAAAAAGTGTGTGTAATAAGGTCATATTATATAAGTGTAGAAGATTTGAGACGTTACAAGAGAGTAACAAACACACAAAATAAGGAGAGATAAGGGCGACAGATTTTTTAATACAAGAAAGGAGGAAACCACACCAGAGCACCTGCCAACCACCCGTCTTGTACCTTCCAATGGGAACCTTCTTGACCAACTACACACATCCGGGTCTCCACTCCAAATGGGGCCACTTGTTGGTCGCCATTCGTCATGTGAGAAAGGCATTTTTAACAAATGTTCTCGTATTATGTTGGGTTCAGCCCCAGTCTCACCCCCCCAAAAAAAAAAAAATTTAAAAAATTAAAAATCCCCCACTTTTTTTTCCTTTTCACACGCCACTATAGGAAACTTGAAACTCCTTTACTAACACCCCCACTCCCAACCCCTGCCTCCCGTCCCAAT